AAACTTCAAACTGAATATTTAATAAGGATCATCCAGAAGAAGGAGTAACAGGACCAACAATTATTAACACATTGTATATGCAGATTTTCTGATGTAGGTTGTAATTGTAAAAGCCTTAAGATTTCTTAACATTGAATATCTTAGAAATATTAAGAGCTTTAGGTCTTTGTTATGGTGATTTCACGTTCCTCTGATACTTGTATCATGTACACCTTGTTCTCTATTCTGCTGAGCTTGTTCAGCAGTTTAGATAAAAAAAAAGTCTTATTTCATTGGGATACAAGCAAGGAATTATCGAGCCAAGATGTTTGAGCCACATAAGTCTTTTGCTATGTGCTTGAGCCGTGAAAGTCTTAATTAAGTGGGTTGATTGAGAAAAAGTCTTGTATTATTGGGATACAAGCAAGGAAGTCTCGAGCCAAGATGCTTGAGCCACGTAAGTCTCTTGTTGGGAGCTTGAGCTGTGAAAGTCTTAATCAAGTAGATTGATTGAGTAAGAAAGTCTTGAGCCAGTGTAGCTTGAGCAGGATAGTTCAGTGCATGGAATTAAAAGCTATAAGTCTTGACTAGTGAGGTGCAAGCAGAGAAAGGCTTGTTTCATACGACCTAGAGCTGAAGTCTTGGGCTTGAGCAGGAATGCTCAGTTCAGGGAATTTAGAGCAGTAAGTCTTGGCCAATGGGGTGTAAGCAGAGAGGCTCATTTCATGTGACTAGGAGCAGAAGTCTTGGATGAGGAGCCTGAGCAATGCATTCTTGGGTGTGAAACCTAAGCAGGAAGTCTCAAGTGAGGAGCTTGAGCAGAAGTCTTGGACCTTAGGTCTGAGCAGATGAAAGTCTCATGCATAACACATAAGTGATTGTAATCATGATTTAATTATAGTGGAAATCTCTTGTGAGAAAATGGGACTGGACTACTCTTAGTTAGGGAGGAACTAGTATAAATCATTGTGTCTTCTGCTTGTATTTATTTGCTTCTATTAACATTCCGCTGCTAAGATTTAACCAAAATCTGAACACCAATTTGAATTCTAAACTCTGATCAGATGCAAACTAAGAAAATGGAAAACACAATTCAATCCCCCTTCTTGTGTACTTTTCTCACCTTCAGATACAAATCTCACAGGTTTCTCTTGAGTATCCAACATTAGGTTTTTCTAACTTTGACATTTATTGTCTTCTTCAAGACACCATAAATACTATTTAAGATCTAAGTTGTGTTTATTAGTTTATTATTTTCTTCAACCAACTTAGCACTAATTTTAAACAGTTGCTTATATGATGATTTAGTTACCTCATAATCATCTTCCTTGTATTATTCCTTTAAGCAAACTTCATCTTCTTCGTTAGAAGAAGATTCTTTAATAGTTCTCCCTGAGGTTTATTTTTCTTTGTTTATAAACACCTCATCTTCTCTTCTTCTTTCAAAAATTTAAATGGATGATATTTCTTCTTCACAACCTCTTCCACATGAGGTTCCTTCATTTGACGTTGAATCTCCCAAAGATCGTTCAAATATTGAATATGTTCTTTCGAATGAATTCATATGAGTAGTTTGATATATAGTTTGATAAAGTTGATGATTCTTCAGCTTTTGAGCTTGCTCCTTCATCTTTGAGTAATTGAATTATTTTGTTTAATTTCTTAATGATTTCCTCCTTTCTTGATTCTTCCTGAAATTTATGAGAACTCCCATCTTTTGATTTAAGGACTGAATTAAATTTCCAATTCTTGATTCTTTTGTATTGGTTAGTAAGAAAAGTTCCAATATAATTAAGCAATGAAAATTTAACAATGGAAATTTAAATTTGAGAAAGTAAAAGTTAGCAGAAGAGAGAAAACATTGGGAGTTATATATGTTTGGTCAAAAAGAAAAGACCTTATCCTCTCCCCAAGATTCTTTTCTTTATAGTATCTAATAAACTTAAGATATTTCATTAGGTTGTACTCTCGAACCCCTTATATAAGAAAAATGAATTTTATGGCTAATTTTTAACCAAACATCAAACATGGAGTGAAGCGACGAGTCTTTCTTACAAACAACAACTTGGATTGGTTAGTCTTAGAGCTTTAAAAAATGGTATTTTACACGGGTTTATCTCAAACCTTGGTGAGTTTTTATCAACACCTGAAATTGAACTGAACCGGAGTTTTGACGGGCTAACCACGAACCTAGAAGATTTTACACTAGGATTATCTCCAACCTTAGTAATATTTTAAGTGGGCTTAGCTTACGAACCAAAAAGAGGTTTTATACGGGATAACCACCAACCAACATCAGATTTTAATAGTAGGTTGATCTCGAACCTTTGAAATATTTTTATACGGGATGAGATTTCGAACCTAAACAAGGACTTAGTAACTAACTCCTCAAACCAAAGCTTTTTACGGGTTTAGCTTCAAACCCAAGTAATCCCTAAATTGAATAAATTATTCAACCAAGGTAGAAACAAAAGTTTTTTGGTGAATTTACAATCCTACCGTTTAATAATTACACACTTCAAAATATTTCAGGCAAGACTAAAGATAGTAATAATTCTCGTTTAAATATGGTCGAAATGGGTATACGAAAAAAGTTGGCTCTAGAAGAAAGAGGAAAAAGAACTTATTTGCCTTTGGCATGTCACACTCTATCTAAAAAGAAAGAAAAAAGTTTATGCGAGTATTTTCTTGGCATCAAAGTTCCTCGAGGTTACTCATCAAACATCAGTAAGTTTTTATCAATGAAAGATCTCAAGTTAATTGACTTAAAATCTCATGATTGTCAAGTCTTGATGCATCAACTTCTACCAATGGCTATTCGTGGCATCCTACCAAAAAATGTAAGAGTAACTATAATCAGGTTGAGCTTATTCTTCAACATTATATGTAACAAAGTTCTTGAATTCAAAAAATTAGATGAGTTAGAAGATGAGGATGCAATAATATTGTGTCAATTGGAGATGTATTTCCCTCCATCATTTTCGGCATTATGGTTCACTTAATTGTTCATCTACTCAGAGAAACTAGATATTTTGGTCCAATTTATTTAAGGTAGATGTATCCAATAGAGCGATATATGAAGATCTTTAAAGGATATACAAAGAATCATCATTGATTGGAAGCTTCAACCATTGAAAGGTACAACACAGAAGAAGTTGTTGAGTTATGTTCAAACCATTTGTCGAAAGCAGAGTCTATAGGAATTTTAAAGTCTTGTCATAATGATAGATATGGAGGTAGATGTACTCAAGTTTTAAATGTTATTTCAATTCTCCGGGATATAGTTATTCAAGCATATTTGTATATATTAAATAATGTTGACGAAGTTGAACCTTACTTATCTACTCACAAAAGAATTATCAAAGAAAAATATCCCCGAATGATTTAAAAGTGATTGTTTAAAAAGCATAACAATAATTTCATAAGGCGGTTTAGTGAAAGAATTTCTAATGATGGTAGTGCATCCGAGACAATTAAATGATTGTCATACTTGCCAAAATTTAATGTAATAATTTGAACTGCATACGGCATTAGTCTTTTTTTTTTCTTTTATACAAAATCAAAAGATGATCGTAGTACAACGTAAAATAGAGAGGTTATGGTTGAGGTCAAATCCATGTATTTCTCTAACACGAAAGATAAGAATCCTATATTGATATCTAGAGCGTACTTTTGAGTCATTGAGGAGATTTGGAAGATTGATTATATTTTATTCAAAGTGTCTTTATTTAAATGTAGGCGGGGTGTCAATAATATTGGTGTACAAACTAGTGAGTTAGGATTCACACCGGTTGACCTTGACAAGACAACTTGTATGACCGAACCATTCATCATGGCTACCCAAGCAAAACAAGTGTTTTATGTGACTGATCCTCCTGACAAAAGATGATCAATTGTTCTTTAAAAAAACACATTCCGCATAGTAATGAAAATCATGATTTAAGTTTTGACATTCCTTCAACTCCTTCTTATGTAACACAAGTGCCTACTTCATATGAAGAAACTGATAGAGATGATGAGATGATGTGCATGCTATTTGTAATAATCATGAAGAAGGCATATGAAAAAATTAACAAGTAATCTTTTTTTTATTGTTATTCATAATTTGTTTTAGGTTTCAATTTTTAAAATTATTTACTAAAAAATATTATTATTTGAAATTATAGGTGTTTAAAATCAAGATAATAAGAGACAAAGTATTTAGTCCATGTTGTAGATAATATTTGATGTAATGATACGTAAATTGTATGTTTTTTGTACCATTTTATTTTTATTGTAATATACAAATTTTAGATTTTAATGTGTTTTTTAATTTTGAAGTGATAGAATTTTTGAACCATTTTAGTTGCCACCTATAAGAGTGGTTCAGAATTGGTTTGTATTGTTGTTTTTGCTCTTTTAGACAATTATGTAAAATCAAAAAATTATATTAAAAAAATACAGGTTAAAAATTAGACAATTATGTAAAATCAAAAAAATTTATTATAAATAAATAAATTATTTTACCACGGTCGAATACAACCGTTCTTATATGTTAGCGTGTTATTCGGATTTTAAAAAATCTAAAATAGTATTGTTGTGTATTGAACACAGGACCTTAAAGCATTTTAATAAGTATGTTTATTACAACCGTGATTATATCTTCTTTACAACCTTCGTTAAATATATTATTCTTGCAAGTTTTCAATGTCAGTTCGATGTCCATCATAGATAAATGCGCAAACAACCAGGTTGGAACGGCGCAAAGAGAGGCACCACTAAACTACCACTGAAAACTAGAGGAAAAACGTCAACAATTCTGCAGCTTAGAGGGAATGGAGGACAAGGCAATCAAAGGAATTATTTAACATAGGAGAAGGTTGCTAGAAGGATTTCTTGATTGGATTTTGACCTAGTGTCCAATATAATAAGACGGTTGCAGTTGTAAGGTAAAGAGAATTAACACAAATAGTTGAACATCCTCTAATCATGTAGACAAGAACGAGTAATAATCTAAATAATCTTATACAATTGATTTCCCTCTATTCAGAGAGTAAATATCTATTTTTACCCCACATAATAGAAACAAGTAACAATAATATGCAGCCCAAAACCGTGCCAGCTGATGTGGCCCAAAATTGATGAGGTTGGCCATCGAAGAGAGCAATGTTAACATTCATGCCAAACAACCCAACCACCACAATACCTGCATTAAGTATCATGTTTATTGTGTTGAATATGATTGATACTTGTAGTAGTTGATTTCGCTTATCATCCAACATTATATTGATGTAGTCCTCTGTGTCACCCACATAGTCACTCAGCTTAACCAAATAACAAAATAAACACATCTCAGTTGCATTTTCAATCAATCACAATATTCAAGTTTAATCATATCTAATGAAATACTTACGCTGGACAACTTTTGCAAGATTCCATTTATTTGTGCAAAGTATGCTTCTAAGAGCATCTCCAATTCTTCAACTTTAGGCTTAGATTCATGTGATTTGTCTTGAACTGAACTTGATTCATCACTACAAATTTAATAAGAAATTGTGAGCATGCCTCATATAATTGATATGCATAACTATATTCTCAAAAAGAGCTATTATTGCACCTTTGGTATACATCTTCATCAAAATCTGAATTGTATCCTTCTTTTACTGATGTTTGATCCATTAAGTGAGCTTCTAACTTTTGTGTCAAATACATTTCAGCCATGTCATTATCATCATCCAGTAAATGTTCTAGTTGATCTGCTACCTGATCAATCCAAAACTTCTTTTAATCCTTTTTTTGGGAAGGACACAGTTTAATATGAAAAATTCATCACAAATATTTTAGTTGGATAATTATATACCTTCTGCACACGGCCAGAAAGCGCAACCAAACGATTCTTAATCTGTCTTACACGTTCAAGATTAAGAGTACTGATATGAGAAGTCAATTCATCCAACGCGGGATAAGCCTCTTCTTCCAATCTCTGAGTCTAGTATAAACATGCAATACAAATCATAAACCTAACACAAAAACCATCTGAAATGTCTATTATTCTACTGTTTCATCCGTTACTAACAAAAACCATGACAATACAATTACAGATCTATTTAACCACGATTTAATTATGACAAATATTTTCCTAGGCATTCGGTTCTTATGTGGTAGTGTGCATAACCCTGTATATATCTAAGGTGATAACCTGCACAAAAATAAATGAAATCAATTTGTAAATCGCAGTAACTACGAGCATATATTTATCGTCGAAATCCTCTACATACCTCATATTCAAGGCACATACAAGCAGACTCAATGCAAGACTCAAGAGCTTTAAACTCAAACGGTAGCTGTTTCCGATCCAGCTCAGCCGCAACTACAGGTGCACCATCCTCAAAACTCCTCTCCCATGCATTATTCCGAGAATCACTGAGGATCGGCGAGCCTTCTTCCAATAAAGGTTTCCTTTCAGAATCACCATCCACACCACTACTAATAGATATAGACGTTTGAATATTACACTGAACACGAGCTTGAAGATCTTGAAGAAACCTAATAAATAAAGGGCTAGAAAGATTAATCAAGAGCACTTCGCTTGAAGTGATGATGGCTTTAATGTGTTCTAAGTTAACAATAATGGATTTCTCTCGTCCTACAATGGAAGAAGGGCTCGAAAGCGCGGGATCAAGAACCCTAAGGTCACGCGCCGGTAACCCTGTCCGTCGCATGATGGAGTGTTTGTCGATATTCTCAACGACGGATTCACCTGTTTTTGAAACTATCATCCAACTCATGATTTCAATCGCAACAGCTTTTCGTCTACCTCCTCTAACCGCCATTGTTGATATTTTTCCCTTTTCTTCTTCTACATTGTTTGTGAACTTACACATCCTGCATCAACTAATTTCAACTTAATTCAAGAGTTTCTTGAGTAGCTTATAAAAATATATTTCTTTAGTATTATTTTAAGTTTCTTTAGTACTCAGTTTTTAAAAACTAATGTGACAACATTAAGTGAAAAATTATGAATCCATCTATTTTTAACTTTTTCAAAAATTTACTTTTATAGTATTATATATTTTTGCTTTAAAAAATATACTTTTATAAAATGTTATTTTAATTATTATATTCTTTTGTTATAGATTTCTATATCAAAATATCAAATAAATTATTTAAGTTTAAAGCTATTGTGAATAACTTTTGATAAAATCTAATCTAATGAATAATTAGTATTTTTACGTAACTATTAAATTATATTCAATTTAAAGATTATGATTTAGAATAATTAAGAACACGTACACTTATAAAACATATTTGTTTGAGTTCATTTTTATACGTTTCAGTTATTATTTAGAACTCATTTCAGAAAAATATAAGACGCATTATAATGAATTTATTTTATAACAAATTAAAAATTATAATTTTTAAAATTCTCATTTGTATTACGTGTAATAATTGTAATTTCAAAAGTCGATTTAAATGACTAATTTCAAATATAAAATAATGTGATGGAAAATGTGAAATTATTTTAATTATTGTAATATAATAATTTTATTATGATGTTGATAATATTGAAAAAATTAATTTCATTTTAATATTAATTTTGATTTATAGAAATAAAAATATTAAATTTAATTAACTTTGCAATTATATATATATATATATATATATATATATATATATATATATATATATATATATATATATATATATATATATATATATATATATATATATATATATATATATATATATATATATATATATATATATATATATATATATATATATATATATATATATATATATATATATTAGAAAAAAATTTACAAACGCAACAATTATTTTGGAATGGATGGAGTATATTCTATGTTTTTATATCTGAAAACCTTTATTTTAAAAAATAAAATACTCTCTCTCATTTTTTCTGATAATTTAAATTTAAAAAATAATGATTCTAAATATTTCTTAAGAAACATTCTAATTTTCAATAAAAAATAATTCCATCTTATTTAAAAAAAAAAATCATTTCTTTGAATTAAATTCTATTATATTCATTTAAATTAAATAATGAAAGGGATATATTTCAAAATAGAATACGAAATAACGATAAAAATGTTTGTTCAAAATATAAAATATGAATAACTATAATGAGTACGTAACAATTTATTTGTGAATCAAAAAATAAAATAAAAATATATAAACTTAAAAAAATTTTAAATATTTAAAAAAGATATATAATTTATCAATTTTCAAGTTCACTTTATATTTTGTTATTTACTTTACAAAATAATTATGATGTGTTCCTTATTTTTTATTTGACTTGTTCCTCTTTTTTTTAAAATAGTTTGAACTACGAAAGTAATAGGTTTATAAATAGTATAAAAAAGTTAATAAATTATTTTAAAAATAATGAGTAATGAGTATATAGTAATTGTGCTATAAATCGAGAGAAAAATTCCATAAAGTAAAGCATGAAATTGCTTAAGTTTTCTCTAATTTTTAAATAGTTCAGAACAAATTTCAGTTTATCCATATATTTTTTTGGTTTTTTTATGATTTACAACTAAATTATTATCTACTCATTATTGTTATTAAATTTTATTTTACTTTAAATTCACATTTTTAGTATTATTTCATATTCTATTTCAAAATAAATTAATTTTATTATTTATCGTACCTAATCAGAAAAGAGTCAGTAGTTTGTCACACGTCGTAAGTTGTTGCGTTCACCGGTGTTGTAGAGGAGAAATGAGGTCTACCTGCAAGATGCTTTGATGCTTAAGTGTGTAACGGAACTAGAGAGAGCAAGTACAGAGAGAAGGTGTAGTGAATAAGATATCTGACCATATAGTGAAAGAGAGTATTTATAATGTTCCCCCAGCGCAGGGTCAACATTTACATTGCAATTGGTCGGATTGTCAAGCTCAGTCACAAGTAATTGTTAGGGCTTACGTGGGGTAGTGAAGACCAGCACATGGTCTTCGCCCTGGATCAACTGCCCCGTGATCTTCGGAAGATGAGATGACCAACACTTTCGGAAGTGGGTAGTGGTCTGATGACGTGTTCCCACGTGGGGGCACGTAGAGAACGTGGGGGAAGCGTGTGGGCTTCCCCGTCAAGAGAGTCTTGTGCCCGACTAGTGTGCCTTGTTGAGGCTTGTGCCCGACAGAGGGGAATTGGGCCTCATCAGCATAACACTGGGTTAGGCATGCCCGGCTGAAGGGCAGGTCTCGGCCCAGTCCAGAACAGGAGCCCCCAAGTCGTTGCTTCTAGGTGGAGGAGTAATAACTTAAGTGCATGTCGAAATGTCGAGGACCTCTTCTAGAGATGGTATTTTCCCCACGCATTGAATTGGGAGTCGTGTACCAGGTCGTGAGCGGAGGATGCTTGACGGGACAGCATATCGAGGTGGTGGACAGCGTGAAGGATGTGCTCGCTCTCTGAGCTCGAAAGGGAGACGAATAGATGCAAAGCTTCTGGTGCTGCCATGTGTTAGGAAATCATTGCTTAGCTAGGGCGGCTAGGGGTAGGGGAGTTTGAGTGCCTAGGGGCGCCTCGAGTCTCGTGATAGGCTTATAAATAGAACCGAGTCCGCTTCATTTCTCACTTTTCACTTCTACCGTTCAAGACGCTTCCTCTTCTTCTCGTCGCACTTCTCAAACTTCGGCACCGAGTCGTCCACCGTCCGCCGCCCTATCGTCCTCCCATAACTGTGTACCAAGTAAGTCTATGCTGCCTTACTCTCGTTCTTCCTATTTTCTGATGGTTTCTCCGGTGGACTTGACGAATGCCCCGCAGAGACCGTGAAGTTTCCGGCGAATACATCAGAACTTCTTTGAAGTAGCGTGGAGTTAGGATGAATCTCTCGGGGACAAGCGATGAAGCCCCTGGGGATGTAGGATAGTTTTGGATGAATCTCTCAGGGACAAACGATGAAGTCCCCGGGGATGTAGGATTGTTTTGGATGGACTACCCGGGGACAAGCGATGAAAGTCTCGGGGGTCCGCTCTCGCCTGTCGAGGCGAGAGAGGCCCTGTCCCTATGGGTCTCCTCTCTTTACTCTTTCACTTGATATGCGGTGGAGATGGATATGATTTGGAATGTCGAATTCACAAATTTCCTCTGTTTTTCAGGTTTAAATGGCAGCTCGGGTACAGGGGGTTATTGAAACCGATGACAAGCTTGATTCCCCTGAGTGTCTCTTTTTGCTTTGTCGTGGATGAGTCTAACGCCTATGCTAATGTCGAGGACCGCTGTAAGGGTTCTCCCGTAAACTGGCAGGTGTACAAACCACGAGCAAACCTTCAGATATGCTCAGCTTATAAGCAGACGAGGTTCCTCGTGTATGAGTTTACCTTCTGGGAAGAGGGATTGCGTCTGCCCTTCACCGACTTCCAACTAGGAGTTTTTTATTGGCTTCGACCGGCGCCCTCGCAACTACATCCTAACGCGATTGCATTCGTGCGGGCGTATGAGCTTTTCTGTCGATATCTCAATGTCGGGGCCACTCTCACTATTTTCTTCTGCATCTTCCACCTTCAAAGACAAATGCTCGATGGTCGACATAGTTGGGTGTCCTTGAAGCAACCGAGGAGGTTTTTCTGGACGTACATGGATTCCATCCAAACTTTCAAGGACTGGTATTACGTTGTCAAGCCCGTCACTCACACGGACATGGACTCGCTTTTCAACCTCGAGGTCCTGGAAAAAGAAGAGTACCCGGAGGAAGTCTTGGTGCCAAAGATTTTGCTGAATTGGACAGAGGAACATTTCGACATGGGCACGAACACCTACATAGTGCAGGCAGGCTCGTTGGATGTCGACGACCAGGTGGCCTATCTGAAGCTGGTCGCATTTGTGGCTAGTTTTACCCCTGCAAAGTGCGTGATGCCGGATGGGAATTTTTTCCTTGACTCGAACGGGGAGATTCTTAGGGAGTCGCGATTGATCAATACGATGGCCCTCCTCGAGTGTGTGTCTGATGAGGAAGCCCTACGTTTTTTAGGTAGTGGGTACGCTTTCCGCTCGAGCCTTGTCTGTGCATTCGTTGTTGCTTTGTGTTTTGCTGAATTTGTTTATTTTTCTTTTTCATGAGAAATGTCGAGCATGCACGAGCGTGTGAAGAGGTTAGCGGCCAGAAGGGGCATGGAGAAATCTGGTAAGGGGAAGATTGCCTAGGTACAGTAGATGTCTGGTCCCGACCAGGGGCCCGGTGGCTCCTCCTCTTCTCCCCAGGTAGTGCCGAGGAGAGGTTCTTGCTCCCGCCCTGTCATCTGCAGCCCGCGTTCTTTTGTGGGGCCAACTCCCTAGTTATGGGTGCCGCATAGACCAAAGTTATCTTAGGCGCTGACCGGGAGATGAGGAAGAAGGCTCTGACGGAGGACCTGGTCGTGGTGATGCGGGTCTTCGAGACGGATTTGATCCTTAATGATGAGGCTTGCTCTTCATCCGGTCTCGCCAAATTGTGGGATAACCTTGTGACCATCGAGGCAGAGTGGAGCAAGCTGGTTGCTGATCTCGACCAGGCCAAAGAAAAAGTGATGTCTAGCTTAAGCTTCACGGCTAGGTGGAAAGGCAGTTGAAGGCCGCAGGTGAAGAGAGGATGAGGCTCTTGGCGCAGATTGCAGAATTGGAGGTAGCTTCCAAGCATGTAGAGGACGAGATTTCTAAGGAGAAGCTCATGACGTCTCGGGCGGCTCTGGTGTCGAGGATCCGACAGCTCGAGCAGGATTGTATGGGGACTCTCGAGGTGGACTTTGAAAGTTCCGTGGAGTAGCTCCAGATTATGGAGTCGGAAGTTCTGTTTATCACCGAAGGGACGGGACCCTTCCATCGGGTCGTCAAGGATTGCATGGTCGTGCCGGGAGCCGAGGAGGAAGACGAAGGC